GGAGCCGGCCCGGGAGGCGCCGGGAGCCGAGGCGGGAGCGGGGGAAAGGAGCGGCGGTTGGTCAGGCGAACGGCGAGCGCGGCGCCGGGCAGGCCCCCGCGGGGTCCTTCGGCGACGGGAGCGGAGGGAGCGGGATCGGCGGCGCGATGAACCTGGAGCTGCTCGGTGCGGGCGGGAACGGGAACGGAGCGGGAACGGGAATGGGAGCGGGAACGGGAATGGGAATGGGAGCGGGAGCGGGAACGGAGAGGGAATGGGAATGGGAGCGGAGCGGGAATGGGAACGGAGAGGGAATGGGAGCGGGAATGGGAATGGGAGTGGGAATGGGAGTGGGAGTGGGAGTGGGAATGGGAATGGGAATGGGAGTGGGAGCGGGAGTGGGAGTGGGAATGGGAATGGGAATGGGAGCGGGAGCGGGGCGCTGCGGGAATGGCAGCGGGGAGGGAGCGAGGGACGGCGGGGGCGGGACGGCGGCGCCACGAACCTGGAGCTGCTCGGTGCGAACGGAGCGGGGGAGGCGCGGCTGGGAACGGGAACGGGAACGGGGCTGGGCTGGAGCCGGGAGCGGCGGCACCGGGAGTGGTGCCGGGGGGCGGGCTCGGTACCGCCTGTCGCTGAGCGCCGCTTTCCCGTTCCCCGCAGAGTCCTTCGGCCAGAACTACCCCGAGGTAACGGCGCTGCCCGGCGGGAGCGGCCCCGGCGGGACCGGGCGGGACCGGCTGGGGCTGAGCGGGTGTCACCGGGTGTCACCGGGTCTGATGGGCCCTGCCCGGACACCGTCCCTGCACTGTGCCCAAACTGTCCCACGCTGTCCCTGTGCTGTCCCCAAACTGTCCCCACAGTGCCTGTGCTGTCCCGGGGCTGTCCCTGCGCTGTCCCCACACTGCCCACACTGTCCCCACGCTCTTCCCAAAGTGCCTGCGCTGTCCTCACGCTGTCCCTGCGCTGTCCCTGCCCTGCCTCGGTGCTGTCACTGCACTGTCCCGGTGCTGTCACCGTGCTGTCCCCCATGCTGTCCTGCACTGTCCCCACAGGGCTCACGCTGTCCCCGTGGTGTCCCCACACTGTCCCCCATGCTGTCCTGGCACTGTCCCCACACTGTCCCTCAGCTGTCCTGCACTGTCCCCACACTGCTCACGCTGTCCCCGTGGTGTCCTGGCACTGTCCCACACTGCCTGCATTGTCCCCACGCTGTCCCTGCTGTCCCCGCTCTGTCCCGCTGGTGTCCCCTCTCTGTCCCCACGCTGTCCCCACGCTGTCCCCATGCTGTCCTGGCACTATCCCCACACTGCCCGCGTTGTCCCCATGCTGTCCTGGCACTGTCCCACACTGTCCTGCCCGCGTTGTCCCCACGCTGTCCCTGCTTGTGTCCCTACACTGTCCCGGTGGTGTCCCCACGCTGTGCCCACTCTGTCCCCGCTCGTGTCCCCACACTGTCCTGGCACTATCCCCACACTATCCCCACGCTGTCCCTGCTGTCCCCGCTCTGTCCTGGTGCTGTCCCCACACTGTCCCCCCTCTCTGTCCCCACTCTGTCCCCACGGTGTCCCCACGGTGTCCCTGCTTGTGTCCCTACACTGTCCCGGTGGTGTCCCCATGTTGTCCCCACGATGTCCCTGCTGGTGTCCCCACGGTGTCCCCGCTCTATCCCCTCGCTGTCCCCACGCTGTCCCCACACTGTGCCCGCTGGTGTCCCTACGGTGTCCCCACGGTGTCCCTGCTTGTGTCCCTACACTGTCCTGGTGGTGTCCCCATGTTGTCTCCACGGTGTCCCTGCTGTTGTCCCCACGGTGTCCCCGCTCTATCCCGGTGCTGTCCCCACGCTGTCCCCACACTGTGCCCGCTGGTGTCCCTACGGTGTCCCCACGGTGTCCCCTCTCTATCCCCTCGCTGTCCCCACAGTGTCCCCTCGCTGTCCCCACGGTGTCCCCGCTCTGTCCCCGCTCTGTCCCCACGGTGTCCCCACGGTGTCCCCGCTGTCCCGCAGGAGGCCGACGGCACGCTGGACTGTATCAGCATGGCGCTGACGTGCACCTTCAACCGCTGGGGGACGCTGCTGGCCGTGGGCTGCAACGACGGCCGCATCGTCATCTGGGACTTCCTGACGCGCGGCATCGCCAAGATCATCAGCGCCCACATCCACCCCGTGTGCTCCCTCTGGTGAGCAGAGCATTCCCAAATCCCAAAATCCCACATCCACCCCGTGTGCTCGCTCTGGTGAGCAGAGCATTCCCAAATCCCAAAATCCCACATCCACCCCGTGTGCTCGCTCTGGTGAGCAGAGCATTCCCAAATCCCAAAATCCCACATCCACCCCGTGTGCTCGCTCTGGTGAGCAGAGCATTCCCAAATCCCAAAATCCCACATCCACCCCGTGTGCTCGCTCTGGTGAGCAGAGCATTCCCAAATCCCAAAATCCCACATCCACCCCGTGTGCTCGCTCTGGTGAGCAGAGCATTCCCAAATCCCAAAATCCCACATCCACCCCGTGTGCTCGCTCTGGTGAGCAGAGCATTCCCAAATCCCAAAATCCCACATCCACCCCGTGTGCTCGCTCTGGTGAGCAGAGCATTCCCAAATCCCAAAATCCCACATCCACCCCGTGTGCTCGCTCTGGTGAGCAGAGCATTCCCAAATCCCAAAATCCCACATCCACCCCGTGTGCTCGCTCTGGTGAGCAGAGCATTCCCAAATCCCAAAATCCCACATCCACCCCGTGTGCTCGCTCTGGTGAGCAGAGCATTCCCAAATCCCAAAATCCCACATCCACCCCGTGTGCTCGCTCTGGTGAGCAGAGCATTCCCAAATCC